CTGGGTCTATCAATGCATACACACTTCGGGAGAATAGTGATAATATACCTGTGATCACATTAGGTGACGCCTCTTGATCTTGCCTATTAGTCAAAGCATATATACGGTTTGAGGGACCGCTAGAACTAGAAGCTCCACCACGTCCTCTACCACGGCCTGCTGGTGCCTGAATACCCTGCCCCGTAGGGCGCATAGCCACAGAAGAAGATGAACCAGCAACGGACCCTGTAGGCTGTGCCATACCACCTGCACTACCTCTAAGGTGACACTCCCTCATAGTATGGCCCTGACGGCCACAAGAAAAACACGCACCTGTAGCCCAACGACATTCCCCAGGATGGGACTTACCACAACGAGAACACCGAGGCAAAGGTGGCCTCGACTGGCTCAAACCCCTGCCCATCTGTGACCCTGACGCCCTAGAGCTCTGACCAGGTTCCGAATATCCCATACGATCGAACCCCCTACCCATGAAACGTGGGGGTGCACTCTGTGCTGGCTGGGAAGAAAATCTAACATTATGCTGAGACTGCCCGCTTTGAAACTCGTCAGGATAACCTGCTGATCTAGCCCTCTTATGCTGGCCTCTATTATAATCTCTATCTGGCTGACGTCCCCGGTGTCGATCCTCTACCCCCTGTGCATATGCCTGCACCCGAGCAATGTCCATACCTGGCTGAAGAGTCACTGCCATACAACCGTCAATCAGATAACGATCCAATCCCATCACATAACGATGTACCCTGTCTGCCATATCAGCCACAATAGTAGGCGCATGCCTAGCCAATGAATCAAACTCGAGGCTATACTCTCGAACGCTCCTGCCATTTTGCTTCAAACGCAAGAATTTATCGACTCTAGCTCGCTTCATATCTGGAGGCAGGAAATGGCCCTGGAAAGCCTCCACAAATTCATCCCATACCGCTGGAGGAGCACCCTCACCCCTAGATAACTCCCAAGACTCATACCAATTAATAGCTACATCCCGCAAACGGTACGTAGCCAACTCAACAGACTCAGTCTCTAAAGCCTTGATTATCCTCAATGTATGCTGCATCTGACGAATAAACTCTTGCGGATCATCCTGGGGTCTTGACCCAAAGAACTCTGGAGGATTACAACTTAAGAAGTCACGAGCCCTTAAGCTATCAGATCTGTCCGCATGATCAACTCCTAGTCCATGCCTGCGAGCCTGATCTGCCACTAATCTAGTCAGCAATTGAACCGCATCTCTCATGGCCCTATCCTCCGCCCCTGACTGAGGAGCTGGAGGTTCAGATGTTGGGGCCTCGGGGGCTGGTGGTGTCCCCCGAACTGGAGCTGCTGCTGCTCTAAGCTCTTCTGGCGGTGGGGGTGTAGCAGAGCTCTCCGACTGGAGCATAATACCAGGCATAGACTGGGCACGGCCCTAGTAACTCTCCGGGTCTGACTAGTACCTTCTGCTACCGATTTTCCCTTCTGGGCGGCTGTCGCTTTCTTTGGAGGCATAGCTGAAAACACACGGATTCGTTAGAGAAGGATTATCCTGTTAATATAGCTCTATCGCACGATCTAGAATAAGAAGAAAGAATGACATCCTAAATGTCCTGTAGCTTCCTGTTTATAGATGTGGTGCACAACACACCGATAAACAAGACTCTACTAGACACGGTCTGTAGACACTTCCGAGGAAGAACCGCTCTGATACCACTCTTTGTCACGACCCAACCCGATAGGCCGTGATTAGTGCCCGTTTTGGACACCAACATACAAACCTGCTAAGTATGACCAACTGAAACTAAGACAATATGGAATTTAATCAAATCAAGCCAACCCCAACGTCATATATATATATATATAAGAGGACCTATCTCATAAGGAGTCATAACCATTCAACCATAACAGCATACGCGAGCCGACAAGGCCGCCACTATTCAAAGCATAATGATGTACGCAGCCGACAAGGCTGCCCCTGTACAAGCGGACATCCCAAACAAACCATGTCCAGACCATTATCCAAAACATATATATACAACCCACATAATGTCCACATACCTCTAAGAGTACAGTAATGAAACTCGACGGGACAGGGCCCCGCCATACCCATAGACGAGTAAAAGACTACACAAAAAGTTGTGTACCAAAACGACTGGGCTCCGAAACAGTGGAGCTCTCCCAATCGGCAAAGTAGATATCCTAGGCGGGAGGATCACCGAACTGTGCGTCTACACCTGCGGGCATGAAACGCAGCCCCCCGAGGAAAGGGGGGTCAGTACGGACAATGTACTGAGTATGTAAAGCATAAGGTAAAGATGACAGGATACCAATATGGCAAGTCGAAACAAAATATCTCTACACATATACCCTTTTAAGTGAAAATCATGCATATATTTAACATTTAAGGTGCCCAGCTTCCCTAGTAAGGGGCTCGGCAAAATAATCATCACGTCATCTCCGTCATCATCATCATCATAACCATCCTCATCACCAATCATATATATAATATACATACCCGGCCCTCTAGTGAGGAACTCGGTGACATATGCAAGAAACTCCGCACGAATATTACCCGGCCCGGGACTCGGTGAAATGATAAATGACTCTATGCACGACAGAATATTATGAGCAACCATATGCAATTAAAATCATTTCTTATAACTCAATAGAACAATCAACGTGAACCAGCAAGGAGTATTACCAAAGATTAATGTTTTATCAAGGTTATGAACCTTCAATACGATATGGAAACGTAAAATCTCAATGACTCTAAGAAGCACTACCATAGATATGAGAGATCATCATAGCCTTAGACATAGCCGATATATAGAGGAATAATTGTGGAAGCAAGAATATACGTCACCTAGACGCTCTAGAGGTAAGTATCAAACCTGTCCGTTATTCGCTTATTTTTAAAAGTCATGCCAAACAAAGAAAGAAGGGACAGCGTTACATACCGTATAATTGAGCCGCACGTCCAATATTTACTGCTCAAGCTATTAATCTATAACAAGCAACAATCGTGCCGCAATTAGATAAACATCGTGCTTTACTTTCTTGTAAGCTAGCTAATAATCTAACGAAAATTCGGCAGCACCTCCCCTATTTTCCTTACTTCGTCCCAATCCGACAACAACCCAAATTATCCACAGCAATACCAATAACACATATAACCCAACGAATCATATTAAACAGCTTCCTTCCCAAAATAGTTCTGTCTCGGCAACCATAGCAGCGAAGCAACGACACACCGAGCGATAATTCGTTTTACAATTCGCAACACATCTACCTTATTGTATTCATCCTTTGGATTATATACTCATAATCACATTTAACATATACATAATGCCAAAACAGAATTTTCCCATAGTTTGCTTTAATCAAAACAGCCCAAGCACCAACACGACACCACTAATAATCCGATTATGGTTTCCGTTCATACTTAGCACATTCAATAACTAAAACAAACTTCCTAAGCTACTGGTCACGCCCCCTTCTTAAAATTAATGGGTAATTAACAAAGGTATTCTAAAGAATTAACACACCAAACAAGGAGATTACTAACCAAATTATTTGCAGCTGCTGGCCAAGAGTTGCAGGGTTGGTTTCTCCATTTCCATGGCTGCCTAAGACAAGTGGTGAAGAAGAAGATGATATGCAGCAATGCATTTCACCACTTTATATAGCATGGAGTGGATTTCTCCACCTCATTTAATAGTATGAAGTGGAGGCAGCCCCCCTCTACACCTGTCCACTAAGGCCAGCCCACAATCTGATCCCTTTTTAATTTTTGCCTTGAGTGGTGGGGCCCATTGGATTAAATCAATCCAAATTAGCCACTAATTAATCCCTCACTTAAAGTTAATGGCACTTACATTAACCAACTCATACTTAATATCACATTTGGAAATAACATTCTTGCCTAATATTTCTTTACGTCTTCTAGATCACGATGCGCACTACGTATAAAAAAAATACGAGGCATAACAAAAATAAATAGAAAATAAGGACATTCTAGCTTCTTTTTCTCGACAAATTTAATAAAATACCGCGAATCACAAAAACTTCGATCCCAATTCATTGAAGGAGACTTCACTAGATTCCTAACAGGAATTATTACATATTAATTACTGCTGTATGTAAAATATTTTGTTGAATAAGTAGTTGATTAAAAAGTACTTCAAAGATACTAAGCTAATTTGTATTTTGAATCGATAAAAGAGTTATAAAATTTAATCGAAGCTAAAAATAAATTGGGTTAATGTGTATTTAAGAAATGCGTTTTTTTATTTGTTACGTCTTTATTTATTTTTTGAACCAATAGAATTGAGTTGTAGATTAGTTATTATGATTCATGAAGTAAAGTTGTGTCATACATTTGGAACTATTCTATATGTGTATTTTTTAATTTTTCTGACAACTTTTTATTTATGTGTTAGTTTTATTTTTCTTTAATAATAATAGTCCACGCGAACCCAGTATGTATAATATTGATTCTTAAAAATTTTCAATTATTTTATGCTTGAAATAGAGTAAGAAAGAATTATCATTTCATCTCGTGGTTACTTATTAAGAAGTGTTGAGGTTTGTGTTTTTCTTTTTTACTTTAGAAATTAGGTGTTATGTCATTAAAAAGTGATCATATATGTCCATTTTTAAGTAAAATATCAAAAAGTAATTTTATTTTTTTTTACTCTAAAAATCAAGTGTCACTTTATTAAGAGGTGATCACTTTCGGCTTGATTGATATCGGTGATTATTTTGACATAAAAATATAAGAAATAAAATACGTAACTAATGACATGATTTTTTTAAATACAAATATGAAAGAAAAAGTAATTTTGTTCACCTTTAAGAAAAAAATAGAAATCTATTGACCAATAAATCACAAAATGTGGTTAACTTTGAAAGAAAAATGAATACTCCTTCCATATTAATATTAGATGAAATTTTTCTATTTTACACGATAATTAAGAAATTATTGATAAATTAATTAATTTTACTATTTTTTCCTTTGATATCAATTCACATAAAAATAAGTTAGAAAAAAATATGCATAGGGTATAATGTACGTAAATAGCTAGTATTGAGAATTGTACACATTCAAATATAATTAATTCTATCTTAATATGGTACGTAATCAAATAATATGAGAGAACTCATCTAATATACGACGAACAGAGTATCAGTTAAGCAGTGTCAAGGATGCTTGGATTTCTTCAAGTGTTCGACCTTTCGTCTCTGGTACTATCTTTGCAACAAAAAGGATCATCAACCCGGAAAAAAATGTGAACATGAAGAACACACCTGGTAATTAAATTAAAATGTTAAACCTTGAACAACAAACAAACACGACGATTCGAGCAATTCTAGATAGATGCATACATACCTGAAGGGCTCCATTCAAATAAAAAGTTAAAAGCATATGTGACAATCCAAGAAGTAAACCAGTTGCACACAATTGCTAGACTTCCAGCTGATCCCTTTATGTTCATAGGAAATATCTGATATGGTAATGAGTACTAGTTAGTAACTACAGCACTCCAAAAGGTTCGAGTTATATAATGTGTGTGTATATATGGAGATTGAGGGCTAGTAGCTGACCTCTGAAACGATTGTAGTAGCTGCACCACCTACACCCATTGAGAAGAATATAGCAAATACCTGTTAACAAATCATTTCGTTTGTTGACGTGTTACTTTTGTAGTTGTAAATGGATTTACTGGACAGTTTGAGCTACAAATTGGTAGAATACAAGAAAATGAATTTATGGAATAGAGTGTGAAGAACAAACCAGTATGCCAACTAACACAAATGTGGCAGTGAGCTGACTCATTTGATCATAATCCTGATAAGATTCATGTGTAAATTGACAAGTCTAGCAAGTGAAATTGTTTTCATATTATGAAAAGGTTGGGGGAAAGGGTGTGTTGAGTGTTGAGTACCTTACACAAAAAGCCTACACCTACAAGAAAGTTTCCTAAGCATGTCCCAGCAGACGCAACCTGAAACCATTTCCGTGTATACATCTCACTATGGATCGCTAAATTTAACACATTAGTAGAGATGCTAATTTCTAACCATCAGAACAGGCCGTCTTCCAGCAGAATCCAGTAAGAATATGCCCATAGCAGCAAAAGGAAGCTGAAATAGAAGTACCAATAAATGATAGTATGAGATCCTGTTTTAGCAATAGTTCTGAGTCACATTGTAGTTTCAGGAGTCAAAACCTGGATGAATCCCATTGTTGTAGTTGCAAAACTAGCCGAGCAACCTTTTCAAAAGCGACAATCTCTTTATTTCTGTCAAAAGTTATTGAAGTATAATTCATTTTACAAACAGTCTATAAGGTGCTAACCAGCTTTTTCAAAGATGGAACTAGCGAAAGATGAAATCGCATCAGTTCCTCCAGACTGCAACAAAATCATTATTCCCAATCCTACCTAGTACAATTAACATAGCAAGAGGAAGATCAATAAGTGATGAAAAATGGAAAAACATTATAAGCGAGATGCATATCTATGAACTTATGTATTGATATACTCCGTACCTGATAAGACTTACAATGAGTGAATGAGCATATCTACGGTCAAACATATCCAGATATCTCGATCCTGAAAGCTTCGTAAATGACTCCACGTTGTCCTGTGAAGAGGTTTCATTTCAATTACACGATGTAATATGGAGAGAAGATTGTTTAATCAGGAAAGACAATAAGTTCATTGTACGTATTAAGATAGTAGTAAGACATTTAGAATCAAGTTACCTTAATTTCAGCTGTTTCTAAAGAAATATCAACATTTTTTCCTCTCAGATATTGTAGAGATGCTTCTACTTCTTTGTCCAGACCGATTTTGGCCTGCAAACAGTTCATTATGTAAATTAGGAATCCAACTACTCCAGAAGCATCAGTATAGAAAACAAAACACAGTCCAGTCCCTTTCTTCGAATGAAAGTGGAATATGGAAAAAATATGAAAGTGAACACCAGACCATAACTAAGGCATCAAGCATTAGTTTGTTAATCAAAGTAATATGACTTGTTTCTTTTCTTAAGTGTCCCTGACTGTATCTCTTATTAAAATTCTGAAGTATTTTACAGTATAATTTGAGAATATAGCATTGAGAGATGACAGGGACTATAATATACCAAGCAGGAAGTACTGATATTAGTCAGTCTTGGGAATTTTTGCTTATTTTTATGTCCTAAACTGCTTCTTTGCCTCTTTGGAAGGAAAAAATGCCACAACATGTAATATTTAGAAGTTAACACTTCACTCACCAACCATCTTGGAGATTCTGGTATGAAGAATATGCCTGGTAACTGCACCAAAGAGGGTATAACTCCTGAAACAAAGAAATCCAAAGACGGTAAATCAGTTCTTCTCTGCAGTTACTCTATCTCTGTGCCTAGCTGTGCATACATGATTATAGAGAAGTAAACATAATATAGGAAGCACTCTACCTACTACAGCCAAGGTGCGCCAAGTAAGGATATTGCCAATCAGAAACATGAGTGAAAAACCAAAATATAGCATGAACTGCAAAAGCATAGCAGTATTAGATATGCAGATTTGAACTCTTCTGAATCACAGAAAACAATTGTTTCTCATTTACCGCAAATACAGCTGTGCATCCGCCTCGAATACTCTTTGGCGCGATTTCTGCAATGTATATAGGAGCCTGCATTGTGATTTGAACCTGCTCTTAATATGCTCTACACAGGAGAAAACTGAAATATGCTTTGTACTTTAGCTACTTACCACGTAAAGGAGAAGTCCAGCTCCTATTCCCATTAGAAATCTTCCAATATCAAGCCACCACACACTCTTGAAATAAAAAAAGTTATAATCAGTGAGTTGAACTCGGAAAACAGACTCAACCCCTTTCTACAGACACTTAAGATGTCATGTTAGTTGAAAGAGTTCTTTCCTAGTTTGATATTTTCTATCTACTTTAAAAAAATCATTTTCCCTTCTGCTAAATTACAACAATTCTTATTCCTTAATCATCCATATCTTACTAGATAACAATGTTTATATGTATTTCGAAAAGACATTGCCTGTTAGTATTATAAAAGATATTATAAGATTTTTAAGACTAAGAACAATCATTAACATTCAATAGAAGAAGTCCAGAAAGAGCATTGAATTACCTACCTTTGCAAAAATTATAGATAGCCATCCCAGTATGAAACAAAGATCCATAATCCACATTGTCTATATTAAAACATAAACCAGATAGGAAGTTTTTAAATTAGTGTATATCATTTTGAAAATTAAATGAGGGGGGAAAGCCGAGCATTGAAAGAGAAACGTACTATTTTCCGCCCAGCCATATCTGCAATAGTGCCACTCACTAAGGCACCAATAGTTCCACCAAGTGTCAGAATAGCTCCAAATGTTGAATACTGTAGAACAAGAAAAAAATCAGCTTACATATCAGATATCAGAACCCCAAAGCTCTAACTAATACTATCTTTTTGGACTTCAGTAACATTAGCAGGCATTGTAGCACTTAGTTATTGCATAGTTCACAAAACTATCTACTCCTCAAACACGTACTTTGAAGAAAGCCACCCCTACACAGCCCACAGAATTAACCATTGCTAGTGCATATTAGTTATCTATTGCAGCCTCCAATTGTTACTACAACAATCACACACAAACACTCCAAGTATATATAAGGGAAATGCAGATTTAAGTGTACTCTTACCTCTGCAATGGACAACCCCAGGTCAGCCATGATACCTGACTGGACAGGAGAAGAGTAGCCAACCTATAACACAATCATCACATTAAAGATAAAATTCATCAAACACCTTAATTAAGTAAATCATCACAACATTAAGATTTACTTATCTAAGATGGAGAAAAAAAAACAAATAATATCATATCTACTGCTCCAATTCTATATTACAGTACATTTGCTACTTTATTCTTGTATTATTGTTAACTCCAAATCCACAACTCTGCGATTCTACGTATACACTGACAGTCTAAAGAATTTTTCCTTCAACTATTGAGTTTTTCTCATTCCTATTATATACTTACAGCAAATCCATAAGCCAAGGAACCACACATAACAACACAAGTGCTTAGAACAACAGACGCTGAACAGGAGGTGCTAATAGGGAACTTGTTTCCTTCACTACTTAAAAGTTGTTCTTCCATGTTGTCTGTCTTGCTATTTGAGAAAAATGAGTTAATTCAAACCAAAGAATACAATGACATAAAAATAAGACTTAGTAGAAAGAGTATTATTTTATTTCATATAAATAGAAGTCCACCATAGTTTATGTACACCTTTTTTTTTTTAGAATTGTGTTATTTAGCCAAAAAAGTAGAGATTTATTCCCACTAAATACGTTTTCCATTTTGTTGCATCGAAATCCGACGCGTGTTTTTTGCAAATGTAAGAGCATAATAAATCAACATCAATATCTGTAGCAGCAATGACTTATTGGATACCTCATTTAGAATGTAAGGTTATGTTGAGTCGTGGACTTTGACATATTTGACACCAAAAAAAAATGGCATAATATATAAGCGTGTCTTTTAACTTGGCTTCAAATCACTTCAATTTTAGATGTGCATAAAAAGACACTTAAACTTGTAAAAAGTTGAATAAATAGAAATATATGTTTTACATGTCATTTTTTGTCCTACATGGTGTTCTACGTGTATTGTGTCATGTAGGACTCATGTGTTTATTTATTTAAAAGTTAGAAAAACAAAGTGTCTGTTTGTGCATTATGAAAGTTGGAGGTCGAAGTTAAAATTTGAAGTCAAGTTTAGATGCCAAAAATAATTGATGATACAACATCACACAAAATAGCCGAACTTATTTTCAAAACAATAATAGAACAGAGGAAACCTCAAATTCCAAATTATTACCCCCTCTGTTCCTTTTTCGTAGTTATTATGTTACCGTTTTATGAAAGTTAATTTGATTAATTTCTAAAGATTGTTTTTTTGACATGGGGAAATTCATTGCCACTACCCTTTAGGTTTGCATAGGTGAAACTCTCTTAATCATATATTATTATAAGCATGAAGCTCTCAATTTAAAAGTTGAATTACTATTTTGCCCTTATTTTATCTCTAAACTAAATAAATATTAATATATAATTAATTTAATATTAGATAATATTTTTTTATTTAAATTCATGTTCAAATTCTTTTGGGAAATAGTTACAAGAAGAGGAAAGACCAAAAGTTGTATATTTTATACTTGTGGCATTTAAAAAAAATAAAATATTAATTAAAAAGGTACACGTGCATTGCATGTGAGCAAAGACTAGTACAATTAAAATACATTAATTCAATATTTTATGTAAAAATATATATAAAAAAGTACTATTATTTATAAAAAAATTTAATATAAACAAATCTATTATAAAATCTTAATTAAATTTTTTTTTATCATTTATCTCTAATCATTGACAACCGAAAAATAAGAAGCAAAAGTCAATAAACTCAAACAAATACTTACCATGAAATACAAAAAGAACGGGAAGTCGGAGCAATTGCATTTATAGGCTATAATTAGTTTCTGCTAGGGTTGGTAAAATTAGCTAATAGTATGACTCATCTAACTCGTTGCTTAGCCCATTTCAAATCGAGTAAAATAAATATATTTATTAATTCAATTCATTTAATTGATTAAAATTGCAATTTAATCCGCTCATTGAATATTCTGACATGATATTAACTAGGAAAAATGGTTAGTTAGTCACCCAAACTAAAACATTGAAAACTATTACAACCATCCATCAGAATCTTTCTCCAAACCCATCCATCTTATAGTTTTTGACTTTTTTTCTATTTGTACGGTGACCTTATAGATTCATGTCATATATATTATATGATTATTTATGATTGAGATTTATTTAAATTATATACTCATCTTAATAATAAAAATAACAAAGTTGTTAACTAGTTTTATTTATTAAAACTATCGAATAAAATAATTAAGTGTATACCAAGCTAATATTTTTAAAAAAAGATTAATATTAAAAAAGAAATTTAATATACCTTATTGAAAGTATTTTCATTATCAAATTGAGTCTTATCTTCAAATCTCGATCCGTATACCTGTCAATTTTTTTTAAAAAATCTTGAAAATATTATCTTGGGTACACTTAATTGCTTTATTTGATAGTTTCAAAAAAAATAAAAATAGTTGACAGCTTTGTTATTTGTATTATTAAGATTAGTATATAATTTAAATTTATTATTAAGATGAGTATATTACATAAATGAATCTCAACCATAAATTATTATATAATACACATAGTATGAATCTATAAAGCCGTTGAACATTATTTGACCTAATTATATTTTTATTTTTATTGAAAAATCAGTTATTGTTGTACTCGTAGGAGTACGTAATTGATATACCACGATAACCATATAATATAATACTACATATAAAAGCTAGTAATAAATGAGGTCTTTTTGTTGTAAGTTATTTATGGTATATGTAGCTTTCTTTTAGATCTTCTTTGACTATACTACATTTCCTCATATATTTATGATAAACAATGTAACTTTCTTGTAAATCTTGTTAACTTTTTAAATATTTTAGTTATTATGATAGGCCATAAGTTAAAAGCGAGTTTATAGATGCACTAATTCGTCTTTTATTTACCACACTTTAATTGAATCTGTGCTAAAATATTACTAATTTTTTTACTCATTATGTGTTTTTGTTGTATAAGACTTTTCTTTGGCTAATAACAAATTCGGAGCTAAAACAAATATTTTGGGATTTTGAAGTCTTAACAAACTTAATTTATTGGACATTGAAGGATCAAAGCGTGCACGTTAACACTTAGAAGTTCTCCATTAATTTAATTAAGGGGCAATTATTGATCTTAACTTTGACTTGGACGTAAGCCTAACTAATTGATAAGAATTTTTTGACATATCAGCTAGAATTCATTACTTTTCGTCACGATTCGATTCAATACCATAGTTTTAAACAATCATCAATAATTCGATTGTAGTATTGTTTTATATTTGACTTCTTTTTTTCTTATATTACGAAGTGGTATGGTGCATTAATAATAATTGTGGACGTTTTTCTTTTCTTGTTTCATGCTTAATATACTTTATGGGGTTTGAATTATATTGTGGAGTTAATCATTAATTTATGTAATCGAAAGAAGAAGAATTTAGTAAATAGGTTTTACTCATTATTTCTTAGAAGTAATCAAAAGAGCTTTTATGAAATCATACAGTGAATGATCAAGAGAAATAAACATTACTCTAGCATACTTACATTTACTACAACCAACATAACACTTAGCATCAATAAATAGACGTATTAATAAAGAGTATTAAAGTATTTATCGACATTAGTTAACTGTTATTAGACCAATATCGGTAAAGGCTTTAGAAACATTTACAAAAAATGTTAATTGCCGCTAAAAATTACATATTTAAGAGCAATTGAGTTATTATAGTTATTTAGTCCATCATATTTACTCTTAATGTTCTTGAATTGTATTTTTAAATCTTGTATTAATTATGTGTTGATAATTAAAACTTATAATCTATTAAACAAATATTAACATTCAACTTTAAAAGTCTTTTCATACTTTACTATTTCTCATCAAAATCAAACATTCAAAAACTCCAATCATAACTTATTGATGTTAATTGAAACGTGAAAATGCCATGAGATATTCGATATTTAATATTTAACTCATGAAATATCTTTTCTCTTGTGCAAAATAAATATTTAGAAATTATTTGATTGGTAAGATAAAAGATAACTTAATTTTTTTAGAAAATATGGACTTTTTAAATATATTTAACCGTGGGTGTTAATTTGACAAATAAGTTAATTACTTGGGATAACCCTGTTTATTCCCTCCCGCCGGTCCGGCCCCACGCTGGTCCACCATATAACGATGCATCACAACGAGCTGATTACGCCGGAACTACCATCTCCGCCGCCAACTTAAACTGCCAATTTTGCCGGATAAAGCAACACCATTTTGACATGTTTCCCTTCTGCAATGCCCACTTCTTATTTACCTTCCAAAGCTCTCACTCTTGGTACAAACAAGAAGCTCAAGAATTCATGCTTAGTACAAAAGATTCTCAATCTCTCTTCGCAAGGCTATCTTAAACAAGCCTTCAATTACCTTAACATCCTAACACGTAAAGGCATTCGCTTAGACAGTAAAACTCTTGCTTTTATCATTCAACAATGTGCGAATTCCAGGTCACGTGAAGAAGGAAAATGGATCCATTTGCATCTCAAAACTACTGGATGGAAACACCCCACTACATTTCTAGCTAACCATTTAATTAATATGTATAGTAAATGTGGTGATCACATGGAAGCACGTAAGGTGTTTGATAAAATGACTTCGAGAAATTTGTACTCTTGGAATAATATGCTTTCTGGGTATACTAAGTCAGGTCTCATTAAGGCTGCTAAAAGGTTGTTTGAGCAAATGCCGGAGAAAGACGTGGTTTCTTGGAATACCATGGTGATAGGCCATGCTCAGGCTGGCTACTTCAACGAGGCTCTCAAGTTGTATAGAGAATTTAGGAGGTTAAGTATTGGGTTCAACGAGTATAGCTTTGCTGGGGTTATCACTGCTTGTGTTAAGTCCAGAGATTTTTCTCTCACAGGGCAGGTTCATTGTCAAGTATTCATAGCTGGGTTTTTATCCAATATAGTTCTTTCTAGTTCAATTGTTGATGCTTATGCAAAATGTGGGAAGATGAGCGATGCTAGGAGGTTGTTTGATGCAATGCGAGTAAGAGACGTTCTTGCCTGGACCACCTTGGTTTCAGGCTATTCAAAGTGCGGCGATATGGTGTCAGCCAGGGAGCTTTTTGAAGCAATGCCTGAGAAGAACCCTGTTTCTTGGACAGCTTTGGTTGCTGGTTATTCCCACAGTGGCATGAGCATTCAGGCCCTTGAGTTATTTGCAAAGATGATGAAGCTTCAGGTCCAACCTGATCAGTTTACATTTAGTAGTTGCCTATCTGCTTGTGCTGGTATAGCATCACTCAAGCACGGTAAGCAAATACATGTATTTCTGGTGAATGCTGGTTTTAGACCTAATACAATTGTTTTGAGTTCACTCATTGATATGTATTCAAAATGTGGAAGTTTAGAAGTTGCAAGGAGGGTATTTGATACGGCATATAACAAGCATGATGCAGTATTATGGAATACTATGTTGTCTGCATTAGCACAACATGGCATGGGTGAAGAGGCGACTGAAATGTTCTTTAAGATGGTGAAGTTTGGAGTGAAACCAAACCGTATCACTTTTGTTGTCCTTCTCAATGCTTGTAGTCATTCTGGGTTAGTGCAAGAAGGGCTTTCCTTTTTCGAGACAATGACCTCTAGTTATGATGTTCTTCCTGATCAAGAACATTTTGCATGCATAATTGACCTCTTGGGTAGGGCAGGACATTTTAGTGAAGTGCTAGCTCAGATAAAGAAGATGCCCTGTGAACCTGATGATCATATTTGGAATGCCTTACTTGGTGTTTGTAGAATTCATGGAAATGTGGAGTTGGGTAGAATGGCTGCAGAACTGCTAATAGAGCTGGACCCACAGTCTCCAGCCGCATATTTGCTGTTGTCAAGTATTTATGGTGTACTTGGGATGTGGGAAAATGTAGAGAAAGTGAGACAGCTTATGAATGAGAGACATGTTAGGAAAGAGCAGGCTGTTAGTTGGTTAGAGATTGAACATAAAATGCTTCCTTATTTTGGGTGCAATAAGTTGAATACTTTAGAGAAAGATGGAAACACTATTTTGCAACTGCTAGCTGACAGACAAACACTGATGATCTAGTACATGATAGTAAAAGGTAAATTTTGTTCAATTTTTGCTTCTTGTACTGAATTGTTTTGCAAAATAAATGTGTTTAACACATGTTACGGTATTTATGACATTTACCTAAATGTTTGGCTAAAATTGAAACAGGAAGTTATTTTATATGGCCTGTTCAAGTTACTCATAACTTTTTATCTTCCTGTGTGGAAATATGTGAACAGTATCTAGCTGCACTAACAAAAATTTATTGAACCTTTGTCTGTTCTAAATATCTGCAGTTAGGAACTAGATTAATAGTCTGTTTTATATTTCAGTTTACCTGAATGTTTCGTTTTTCTTGTTTCAAGATAATGCATGATTACAGCGTTTGACCACTGCTTGACCTCCATTCTCAGCCTTTGCTAGCAAAATCTCTTCCTTCAGTGCCCTCTTGGTCTTAGTTCTTATACTAGAATACAGGTTCTTAGATGTTGATTTTTGTTATGTTACCTGCAAACTTGGAAAAAGATTGTTTTTACCAAGTCATCTAACTGTCAATTTGTGAAACTTCAAATATTGTTGAATCAGTTCCACTTGGGATGCATTCAAGAATAATAATACCTTTTCAGCGAGGATCATTTGATAGCAAAGATGCCTTGATTGAAAGATTAAATTGAGGTTTTGGAAATGAACTCGAAACAATCGTCGCTAATACTACTTCGTGTTTGATTTCTTTTTGTTTAACACAGCTCATCCCCTTCCAATCATGTCAGCTAAGGGACCACATCCTAATATTTTCTGGTCCTGCGTCCTCTTCCTCCTGCTGAATTCAGCCAGACTCTGATTTGTACCCATTTCTGTCGATTCATTCATACATGATGGTAGTGATGCTACAGGTAGCAAACCCATTTTTGTCGATCCATTCATACATGATGGGAGTGATGCTACGGGTAGCAACCTTTGCTGTGAAGTACAAGGGCCAGCCTTTCAAGTGTAGCATACCCGAAATTAAACTTCGTATATGCTCTTTTGGCTGTCATGGGCTTCACAATTATCACCTGTAATTTGTTTCGAGATTTAAATGACTGGTTGAAGTTAGTTCCTATACCAAGAACGTTAACAGATAAAAGTGCTAGTTTGGCCACTGAATACTTTTTTGTTGTGTTATGCCTGGAAAAGACTGATGATGTGGGCGTTCCCCAGTAAGATGCCTGCCTGCCTGGAAGCAACAGCAATGTCAAGTCCTGAAATAGAAGCACACTAAGTCCCTAGTGATTGAGAACCAGGGATTTAGAGCCGGAAGGTACTCAGGACCCTGCTGGATTTTGTTGCATTGAAAGATCATGGCTAAATCTTGCTGGATTTTGATTTTTGTTATCTCCATTCCATAGAGACCAATGACTTCATTTTTTTTTCTTTGATAGAAAAGCTCTTTTTCCTCACTTGTGGGATTACATTTCGATTGTTGCGGTTTATAGAAAAGCTTATTTTATCTTATTGATCAAGCAACTTCCTTCTATAATCCTGTCCCAAATGAGAAATGCAAAATACATGACACATTTATCAGTTGCATAAAGATGTCATTCAACAGAGATGATGACAATGCTCAGTAGTGGGTAAAACATCATTTGGGGAGGTGATCATTGAGTATTTGGATAGCATTCAAGCTTAAGATTTTCTACACAATAGTGCTACTGTCAGTGAAGTTGCTTTGACCTAAATCAACAACAAGAAATTCTATCATAGAACAGGAGAGCAAAGAAAGGCAAAGGTTACACATAAGTCATACTGCTATCATCTCACTAGTAGTTTTGCAGATCATACGCAGGTTATCTTCTGCACCAAGAGAAGGACCCATCATCTGATGCCTTTACTAAATTTGCTCTTCAGGTCTTCCTGTAATTGCTGGAATATAACAGAAAATACCCCTGCAAAAAAGAACGAAACATCAAGGGTGGCGAAGAGAATATGTTGATCCAAGTATCTTAACCCAGGCAGACTGTTTTGACATAGAACCTACTAAGTAAACAGATAAGAATAAATTAGTTAAGTATGACTAGAGACAGGGACAAGTCTTGACAACTATTTTCCATGAACAATCACTAAGGGAACTAAATGTTTGCAGAGAGAGTAAAAAGTTAGCTGTTTCAGAATACTGCAGTAAAATATTCAGGTTGCCAAGGTAATCACATCGATAGAAGAATTAGTAAGCCAAAAGGGATTTGAGATCTAAGTTATAGCTGACACTAGTATTTTACAAAAAAAAAAAGCAACCAGTACACAACTGAGCACCTCCTAGGTGTAAGATGAGAAATTAGTAATTGAAGGCAGGTCTCATGAAGCTGTCTTTGAAAGAAGCTTTCCTTTTATTGACTGATGATATCAGCTTGATCTAGGGGATTGAACTGGTCTGGAGTGTAGCCGACGAGGTGTGTTTAGAGAATGATGCCCTACATAGCTGGGCCTTTTTGAAGAAGAGAAGACGTAGGACATTATTGCCCCTTTAAGCGGCTTTAGCCTGTCATGTGGGTCCAGTAGAAGTAGAGAAATAGGAGAGTTTTTACGGAGATAGATAATGACTGTATATGCAAGGACCAACATCTCACTTTTAGTTAGCTTTTGGTGTACCCATGATATTCCCATTTGTATAGAAAATTGGTTATCTATAGGAACAGGTTCTTCTGTAGGCTCTCTATTTTTTTTACGTACTGTTTATATACATGAGTTTTCTTAAACCAATTAAATTATTAACCTAATTACTTTATCAAAGAATCTGTCGAAGGGAAATGAGAGACAACCAAATCTAACCAAATAGTTCAGGAAGCAGGGAAAAGAAGAAAATGAACTATCACTGCACTGATTGGATCTGAGCAAATGGTTTTGGACAAACCTGGTACAGGGATCTCTTTCTGGAGCAATAATCCTTTCACCAGAAGTGTCCCTGGTATCTGCTGGAAGACCTACAGATACAACCAGGCATTAGACCAGATCATGCTAAATAATAAGGAGACTAACAAGCCACCTTATGAGTAACGAGGCATTAGTTCGAAAGGCAAATCACTACAATAAGAAAATTACAGAAACGCAGAGATGCATGTCATTCAGTTGGTCAGAGGGACAATTTGCAGATATCAATATATCCTGGTCGGTCCCAATCTGTGTTTGGGTCTTCAGGATAGTATTACATTGCTCAGCTGACAAAGTTACCTTGAAGAAAACATTTAGATTCAGGAAAAACATGTAATAGGTGCAGTAATAATCATATAGAAGAACAAATGGAGCATACATCAACTTTGAATGAGGCAGAGTCTAATTTAGAGGATGCACCAATATTGCAGAAGTAGGATTCCACTGATTGCAATACATCGAAGGCACTCTGATGGCGCTGCAGACCCTAAACAAACATTGGAGATCAATAAGAAATCTTGGACCCACCAGCAATGGAGTAATTAACAGAGCTAGTACAACCACTTCGTGCCAAAACTAGTTAGTCTGCCAAAGGAACACATGACCTCATATGTATGGTAGAAGTTCAAAACCTTGGTGAATGCATAATGTGTCAACAATCAATTTATAATGCAAAAGGATAACAATGTCAACACAAGTGACAGATGACTTTTTTTCTGCATCCAGGTGAGGGGAAGGGGAGGGCAGAGCACAGAGTTTGTTTTGAGTTGAAGTTGGCAAAATAAAAAAGATCAATTGAAGTTGAGTTAGTACTTTAAAGGTTTTACTAAAGAAGAACCAGTTCCACATCTACAATAGTCAAAACCTTCAAAATACTAACTCAACCCGTACACAATATTGGAGTTGAAGTTGGAAAGCCGTTTGTTGGAGTTGAATTGTGTTTGGGCATTTCGGCATGAACTTCACTTGCAAAAATAGTTCATAAATAATTGAAGCCTTGAAAAACTTAACTTGAAATACACCTTAAACCAACTGTTTCAACTGAAAAATATTTCAATTTAAGAAATCCAAAACTTCAATTTGCAAATAATTGTACTTGCAACTGAAGTCATGGGCCACATCGCCAGACTCTTAAAGACTTCAACCAGGTTGTATCATACTCAGCAACATCTCTAACAAAAGACACAAAACTTGCACATGAAAGAAGGGACAGTATCAAATGAAAGGAAAATACTTGGGTCCTGGAACATAAAGTCCACTTCTAATTTTCACAGACAATCTTATGATATTTGAGCTCTGTTTTATCAGAATAATCAATTTCCCCATGATTGCCAGATGACCGAATAAAAGGCTAGTAAATATCAGACCTCAAGCATGAATGACATGTTATTCTTTTCAGCCACATGAGGTGGTAAAATCTTCTTGGAAGCAGGGAGAAATGACCAGGCAAGCCCCCATCGGCATGTTTGGCCTTGCACAAATTCAGTTGTCTTTACTATTGTTGCTCCAACCTCCCAAAGCTTTGATATCAGTACCTTTAGGTTAGCTTTTCTTCCAACCATTGAGGTGTACCACCTGGCAAACATGGGGTCAGGAAATATAAGGACTCTTCACAATTGCGCCTTCATGATAAACTTCTCTAACACATAATGCAATAAACCAGATTTTAAGAATGATTCCTTACCGAAATGATTGCCTTAGTTGAACACTATCCTCAATAATGCGAGTGATAAAAGCACTCTCTCCCCCAGGACAAACCATCTCCTGCACAGTCCCACCACAAGAAGTCTTTGGATTTAATCCAGCTTCCTCTATCGTCTCAAAAAAAGGAGGGTTGCACATACAAAAGTCGAATTTCTCCCCATCCTTGACTACACCAACAAGTATAGGTGGTCCACCATAACCTTTTCCTATACCTGAGGGCATTTGGAGATGAGCAGGAGGTGAAGGCCCAATGACAACAGCCTTTCCATTGTTGAAGTCTGCGTCCGTACATTGGCCATATTTTCCTGGTTCATCATTCAACTCCTCACTGGAAGATGCTGGGTTTTCCATATTAACTCTTCTGACCTCAATCAATTCAGAAATATGAGGATTACTTTTGACATTTTTCTCTGCCCACTCCAAAGCTACATCAGTAAAATCTGTATACAGCAAGATCTGAAGGAATCAATATTTTGCAAATATGTAGCACAGTTCTATTAGTGAAACACCAGCAACAATGCAAGTTAAGGGAGAAAATTACAAATTAGAGGGGGCTACCAGAGCCAACAAACTTCCAACCCAGAAGAGATGCACCGAGAAGAGGGTAAATGCAATTGGTCCCAGTTCCTATATCAAAACCTTTAGCAGTGTTTCTGTCAGCTTGAACTTTAGGAATGATGTCCGATGATAAAAGATCTTCAATCCAATGAATATAGTTTGATCTGTTGGGGACTGTGGGGCAGAGCTGTCCATCGGGAATCCACCTACATAAAGAACATGTTCAGGCATATGCGGATGGGAGAATGGCATCATTTAGAATGTAAGGGGTCTCTAAAGACAAACATACACTTGCATCTAAACTGCATCTATAGTCTGCTGGTCACTAAACATAGACAAGAAAGGGTTTCTCCTTTCTTCTTTTTTTTTTTTTTTCCTTTTTGGGGAACGTTATGTTAACTGTTTATACACCAAACTGTAGGTAGGTTCTATCCCAAGCTTATATTGTATCAAACTAATCAAAGCTCCAATTCAGCTTGGAAGCACAGTGCCACTGGTAATTAAGTAATATATTTAGGCTCCTCTAGCTTAAAACTCATTCATAAAAAGATTTATTTGATTAACATTTATGGTTTGACATCTCCTGTGGACTTTTAGCAATCAAAAGATTAGAAAATGACATCAAAAAAGCCAAGGGTTCTGGTTCCATCATTGGTAAGTGGACAGCTTCTTTTCCTTTTTTGGGGGTAACTAAGAAATCTGCTTTTTATGGCTTCGAAATCAATGATAACAGGTCCATTCTGTTGTCCTTCTCCACTTAACAATATGGGACTTGGTTCACTGGCAAGTAGGTGGACAACACTCTAAAGCAAATAACTTTACTTGAATTCTCCCAGGCCACCATAGAATGAAAGTGACATGCAAGGTGAAGTTAAAAGAAGAAACAGCTTAGAATTGTAAAGGGAAAAAACTATTAAAATGAAGCTAAAGTTAAAGAAACAACTTAGAACTGTAAAGGAAAAAACTACCTTGTCTTAGAAATTCTCAGATTGCTAATACTTTTAACAATAAACTTAGCAGCAAACGCAGTGACCAAAATCTTCAAAATTATTAGTGTTCCTTCATTCCTCATGTATGACAGCACCAACCCGAAATGTTTTGAGACTATATAATTAGTAATTCTATAAAAAATCACTTTCACAAACTCGAAGAATATAAGTTTTAACTTCACAATACAATTTTAAATACCATTACTAACGGAGTACTATTTAGCATTACTTACACAAACTTGAATAATAGAGTATAACTTAACTATTCAAATTTCAATGTTTTTCATCTATTAAACCATTATTCAAGATTTGATATTTTCTTTCCACAGTAAAAAATTATAATGAAACTAAATTAACATCAAATTGAGCATATAAAATCGAACTTCTCATGCAAGATTAAACCAAGGGATACTATACAGTGAAGCAAACACCTTTTTTTCCAGAAAGGGGAAATGGGTATATAACTGGAATAATAAAGGACAGAAAAAGAAAGCTAATTGATTGCCAATCCACTGAATAGTAAACTTAGAAGTAACACAGGATCAAGAATCTTTAAAAAATCTATAAAAAGAAACAGAAAAGTAGCGTTAAGGTTTAGGTGCTCCGTATTCAAGAAAACATAAAACTCGGATACCCTTTTTACATTAGAGTAACCTGGAAAAAGGAAAAAGATAAAAGTGGGTGTTTACCAATTGAGTCCATGATCATGGTGGAGCAAGACTCTGGTGAGTTCACGTGTTGCATTGAAATCGGTCCAATCAATTCTAGGTCGACCATCTCCAGAGTAGAAAACGTAAGGTGCAAAGGTAGAGTATTTAGAGGCCAATAAGGAGAAATCTGGCGGGTTATCAGAGTACTTGTTACGAGGATGTGTAGTGGCTCTCTCTCTCTTCCTCTTCTTGCTCCCCATTGCATACCAAAACTCAAAATCCCATCTTCTCTGCGAATATTTTTTGTTTTGAATAATTGATGAAAAGTCGGGTCGGGTGCTGTTATGGGCCGGGTGATTTATTTAGGACCGAAATTTCATATATTCATTTTTTTTAAAAAAAAGATAGTTTTTCATTGTTATCGAGTTTATTGTTTGATTATTGCAAATGATATATTATAGGGAATAAAAATGTATTTGAGAAAAGATTTTGTAAATTAACATCCTAAATTGTTTATTTATGTAATTTTTCCAAATAATATTCAGTACTTTTTAATTTGAAAATGTGTTTTGCTAATTTATTATTCAAAAAATAATATCAATTTTGATTATGAATAGTTTAAAACCAAAGTTAATCAATTAATAGAACTTAACTGTTGCCCATAGGCAATAATTACACTATCTTCATTCGAACTTGTGAGCATATCACAATTAGAACTAATGCATGATGATAGGTGGCAGGTTGATTTGGTTTGGTCGATTCCATCGTTTTTCGATTTAATCAAAATAATACACAATATACACCCTAAACGATATTCTAAATCTGCAATTTTCTTGTGTATGTAAATGTAACGTTGGTCATTTTCAAAAAAGAATCTTCTAACATAACTGATGTATGTAATGGATTGATACATAACACTCTGCATATATATAACAGGCCCAATAAATTAATTTTATATCTATAGTTTATTTAATTTACACTTATAATATTTTATCGACAATAATAAAATAGCAGAAAAACTAATTATTATACTTTAATTTTCTCCATTTAAAATCTTAATATTTTTTTTTAAAAAATCATTTTATTTGAATTAATTGAACTGACATAATATTTAGCTATAAATTTTGCCAAGTCAAAATGAGACAAATAACATATTCAAATGCATACCATCAGTTGTCTAAATTGCAAGTAGTTTTGCACATTCGAAAGCACCTATTGGCCCCAGATCAGGAAGTTGAAGATGAGTTCCAAAAGTTTCGGCGACATAACCACGTGAAGGTCCATCCGGGAGATCAATAGCAAACCAATATGCTTGAGGCAAAATGACAATTTCACCAGGACAAACCTGCAATCTTCCGCATTCAGTAGTAATCCACAGCCCTACAATGTTGAATACAAACAGATATCACCTGATCTACTGAACTTTGTAATAGGTGTTGTGCCGAGTTGATATTCCATAAACATCGTTGTCTATTCACAAGAGAAATTCATTTTAGCAGATTTATAGTCCATTATGTCAAGGAGATACGATATACTCTCGACTTGAAAGCATATAACAACAGAATTTGAACCCAATGCTTATATCCAGAGCATAACAATCAATAGGTTGAGGCAATCAACTATATCTCAATCATAATTACTATAATTTAACAAAATAAAACATGACAAGAAAGTAATAATTATGTCCCGAACTGCATCAGAAGGACATAATGACGACAATATAGAGCAAGTTTGAAAGACCAATAACACGTGAATTGCAAAACCATGTCGGAGATATGAGCTGGCAACCCTGCATATAGTATACAAACCATCGATGAAATCAGTTGGTGTTTCTGGGATCTCGACAGGCTTCAACCATAGTTGAGTTGGTAAGAGCACAACTGTTTGACTGGTTTAATTCAGTCACAAGCTTTTCATGTCCATCAAAACTCACAAGCAACAATATTCCAACTAGCACTACCAAATATAGCAAGAGGAAAGGTTTAACAGAAAGAACAAAACTCTAGTGCTTTACCTACCAGTTCCTTCCTCCAAAACCTTAAATTAAACCTAAGGAAAGAATTTAATAATACTCTTAAATAAGAGAAAGACTACCGGAAATTATAAACTGTTTTCACTGACTTTTCAAGGGAGATGCAAATACAAAATTCTTTAACCTTTCAGTAGTTAAATGATAGACGATGAAGAAATATGATCTCTTATATATTTTAAAGATGACAATGGCAACTGGAAGTGCATTTAATAGGCAGTGAAGAAACCCCAAAAATTATGGGCTATAAACAAATTAAAAAACGATTGCAAAATAAAATTAAATGCACAAGCAACAGATGACCATAATATTTGCTGGATTCTGGAAAGCAGAAAAATGAAATGTCTAACCAATAACATAAACAACTTACCTGAGGTAGTAGCCACTGAAGTACCAAATTGAGAACAAGAAAAGACAAAGCGACGGCAGACGTTTGAGGAAGCAGGTGTTGTTAGAATTGGTGAAGGATGCAGTTGGTGACTCTGCTAAAAGACAAACGGAATTGAAGAGAATAGAGCCTGGAAATGGAGGCGTTTGGCGGTGCTGCACATGGAAGAATGAGTCAAGGCTGATGCAGTGGGAAGATTTAATGAGCGCTGAAATGCCCCTCAAATTCAATGTTATTTACAAGGAAGCACACGTGTGTGTTATTCCCTCTTCTTATATAGTCTATATATATATATATATACACACACACACACACACTTGTCATACAATATTGTCCTTGTCAGCTATCCCTTAGGCTCTTAATATCTGTAAACATAGGCCAAGTGACACCACAGAGATTCAGGAAGAGTTCCCAACACTGTTTAGCAACTTTACAATGAACCCTTCTACACATAGATGAGACCTCTGGCTTAGGAGAAAACCTGATCTCTGTAGATTATCTTGAGTTAAACAAGCTTCTCTGATAACACCCATCCAAAACAAGCCACCTTAATGGGTGTGCTTTGGTTCTCCATACCATTTTCCATGGCCAATCCAGTACATAATGATCAGATTGTTTCTGAAGAAAACAACAAGCAAGTCAGTGGACAGTTACCCCTATTCTAATAGATATAAACTAGGAGTATGCTTCTTTTCAACTAAACATCAAATTTCTATAGACGCGCTTATTGTTTTAGAGTTCTGTCTGTCTTCCTGTGTTTACCAAATGCTCTTGACTCTGTATAAATATGGTAGGGAGTCGGGAGAATTCAAACTAAAAAGGGGATGTACTTTGATGATTTTCAAGGCGTTGTGGCAGTAGGTTATTGTTCAGTTGGGCAGTGACAAAGGGTGATGCTGCAATAGATGATGTAGACAAGTTTATCATTTCTGTTACTAGTATTTACTGGTCCTCAAGCCATAACCATAACAGGTAACCCGGATTTGAAAAAATTGTATAAACCGTGAGTATGAGCCTAGTTTGATACTAATATAAGTTAACTAGCACCTTTCTGATGCCACAAAAATATAAACATTAAATTTAAAATGATACAAAGAGGTTCTGGGAGGGGGAGCACAAGCCGCTTACCAGAATGCAAATGCAGCTCAAGATATGGATGATTGTTCAGTTGATGATAATTTGTCTTGCAATTGGTTTGGTCTTCCCATCAAATCACCCACTACAGTTCCATTATCTCTGCACAAATATAAAGGAAACAACATAAAATGCCAAATTATGGATTTTCGTTAGCTAAATTGTCTCTCATACAATCTAAATGAAGGCTGAAAAAATTATTACAGATTTAACAAAGTTCTTACTTGAAATGAAATTTTGACTGTCGTGGGCCCATTCTGTCTTGAATTCTTGAGTGAGTACAATTCAGCTTCTTCCATTTCAATCTTTGATACACATGGTTCCCTCATTGAAAGTAGTATTTCTTGGAGAACACCGGATACTCCTAACAGTACTTCACTGAAACAATCATATTTCAAATAAAATAGCCAAGTAATTTAGAAGAAGTAAATAGGAAAACTCGGGACCTTGTCATCACTTATGACATCCAGTTAAATACTCTTGATACAGCTGAAATTTTTTCTGGAAACCTAAATCCTTTTGTTTCAACAATCTAAAAGTTTGCAGCTCATTCGCCCCCAGCATTGCGAGACTATCATTGAATTTAAGCTCTACTGGACACCCCTCATCGAACAACTCCACTCCTGTCATCTCTTTGCTGGCATTTGAGATAGGTTCTTCGTGTTTTTTATAGATGAACGTTGTAAATCTTTTATCAGGTTCTACTCCCAAATCCATTTTTGAGATATAACAGTCTGAGAATGCCACAGGTTCATGTAAACAGAGAGGCCTCATTTTTTCCATCCAATCGCTAGGGCACTCAGTATCTGCATCAAGGGAAACTGAATAGCCATCATCAGGCTCATTATCAGAGTGTGACAAACCGATTTCACAGGCCACCTTCATAACTTTATCACTTTGAAGCCTCAACTCAGCATCAAGTGGCAATATATCTCTTTCTGCAATTCGAAGGTTATTAAGAGCTACCAGAAAAGGAGGAGGAAGAAAGGGACCAGAAGAACGGCAAGACGGAACTTCTTCTGGTGTCTCATCAATACAACATTTATGCAAGGGAAAAGGCAGAGGACATAGTCTGTCGAAAATGTCAGAAAATTCTAGAGGAAGTTTCTTCGGTTTCAGGGGAAATTCAGGGAATCTCAAGAAGGCAGAGAAAGTGAACCCCAGAAGATTATTAGGCAAACTGATGCTAATGCTTTCTAGTGCAATCTCATAAATGCTTGCTGGCAAGCTGATACCTTTGATTACATCAGAAACGGTTAGAGATGATTTTAGTCTTGCGACGCCACATTCTTGAATCTTCTGACATATTTGCTGGTGGAACTCCGACCGGTTTTCTTCAGAATCCTTTAGATTCTCTCTGTATACTCTACTAATGAATTTAGGTAGACTTCCATTCAGATACTCTTTAAGAAAGTCAAGGCCCAGGTAGATGTGGCTCTTCTTCAATTCCAATTCTTCAACACCCATATCATATAGAAGGTTATTTTCAGAACACAGAGAATTTCCTCCATAAGGTGCGTCTGACTTCTCCTCAGAGTCCCATTCTGCAGTGTATCTCTGAGCTTCTAAACTGCCACAGGACATTAACCTTACAAGGGAAAAGCTAGCAGAGCTATCAGTATCATCTGATCGGATAGAAAGGCCATTGTTGAGAATACCAAACCCCAAAACAATGACTTTCTTTTGCCTCCAATCAATCCAATCAGAAAGAAAATCTTCAGAGAAATTTGCTCTCATAAGACAACTTTCACAACAGCAATCACGACCAGACAATGAGAGGTCTGAAGGTAGCCCCCAAGCATTTACTGATTTACTGAGCCTCGCAATTTCTGAAAATTTATGGCTGTGATTGTAGTCCGGCCCATAGCAGAATAGAGCAAATTCACAGTCCCAGAATGATCCTACCAAAATGCAACGCCCTGATTCAGTAGCCCAAGCCCATTTATCATCTCTAGTACGTCGCCTCAGGTCAGACAATCTCAAAACAGTCACGTAAGCTGGATTATTCAGACCATGTACCCACTGCAACAATGGCATCAATGGCTTCCGCACATCACAAAGAAGAAGGGAGCGTCCAGAAACAGCAGTAAAACAGAAGACGTCAGCCTCCACTCTAGAAAGTGCAATAAATCTATCAGTTCTACCCGACGACACTGCCTCAATATTTAGCAAGGTGCAGACTTTGCACTTGTCTGACCTCAAATCCACCAAAAATACAGTCCTTGAGTTTGCAACAATCAAAATCCTTGGATGCCAGCTAAATTCACAGGTTACCCAATGTTCATCTCTATCCAACTTATCCCACAAAACTTGCAATTTCTTGCCTTGCAATACATCAGAAGCACAGAAAGCCTGACTCTTTCCGCAAGAACCCATATCAAACAAAAACATCTCCCCATTTTTCAACATCACCACACACTCTTCTCTCAGATGTGGACTCCAACAAGCATGAGAAACAATCCCACCCTTGAACAAGTTTCTATCAGCACTACCCACATAATCTAACATAACATTTTCATCTCCTTTAACCCCTATCTTTACACTATACCAATGAACAGAATACAAAGTACAAACCAATAAATACCCAAAAGTAATACAACTAGAAGAACAAGAATCATCAATTTCACTAACTGGGTTCACTAATAACCTCAAAATTCTAAAATTCAACTTGTGATTATGCACTAAAATAGATGTACCATTCTTGAATTTCTTAGCCACAAATTGGGTATCTTCAGAACAGAGCATAAATAGCCCAACTTGGTCATAGTTCTCTCCCGTTGGAGAAATTCCTATAATTGAATTGGGTTTGCTATTTTCACCAAAATTAGGAAGAGGAAGAAACTGGATTGAGTTAAAGTTGTGAATTGTGTCAGAAACCTGTGGACTAAACTCTGTAGCAATTGAAGAAGCGGTAGAAAAAAGCATACCACTTGAAGTTTGAAGGAATCTTGGTAAAGAGAGGTCAGGTACAGGAGAAGGAATCCGAGTTGATAACAATGGCGAGCGAAGGAGTGGCGTCAGCGTTTCTTCACATGGTCTGAAAATCAAAGGTCCAATTGGACTATCAATCCGGCGCCGTTTTGAAGAGGACTCTTCGTGTGAATTCGAGAGGAGAAGTGGCGAGGAAAAGGATGACCATATTTTCCATAGAGCCTTCCACTTGTCGGAAGAATCCATCGTTCTTTTTCTTGCCGGCAAGTTAACGGCGGCGAGAGCGGAAGAACTAAAGGGAGAACTGAAAATTTCAAAAATTCTATATGTACCCCAGGGCTTCTCCTAATACAAGTTTGAATCCAAATAGAAGAAAAGAAAAAAAGGGAAATTATGCCGATAAATAAATTTATACTATTTAATTACTCATCATATTTATAATTTGTTATAATTAGCATTTGTAACTAATATTATAATGGCTAAATAAAATTCAAACAACAAATATTAGTAGTACATATATGACAACAAAATAACAATCATATAATGTATGTATTAATTGTTATAATCGTTTAAATTTAAAGTTAGGCAGTTATGAAAAAATCTATTTTATGTAACAAATGATTTAGAATAATGACATTTTTATCTTAATATTTTCTTATCATTCTAGTCTTTATTTATTACTTAATAATTATATTTCATATTTTACTATAATTTTTCATAATAGCTCTATCATATATGAATGTATGAACAAAATGTAACCACACAAAATGATATAATCTATCCATACATTATATATTTATTAAAATAATACAATACAATAATGCATATATTATGAAACAAATATAAAATGGTTGTAACAACCATCCAAACAAAGTTTGTGAAAAATAGTAATATTATAACAATTATTACTATTATTATTCCTAATTCTAGTAAGTAAAGAATTACCTGAACACGATTGGATATTATATTCCTATTTCTGTTCGGTTAAGGAAAGGTAGTTGCTTAACCCTCTTTTCTAATCTATAAATTCATGTTGCTGCTAACTAATTGCTCTCAACAAAGCTTAACTCACTTTTATTCATTAGTAATACTAATTAATTAGTTCCTCTGTGAATTTAGAAGCAAATACATAGTTTTTTTCTTTTTTTAGTGTTATTTATCATGAGTTTAAATTCACATAACTTTTGGCAATTCATGTCTGATGATCCTCCCCATTATCATACTCCGCCAAATTACTACGTTTCAAGCAACATCACTCATCCACATTGGTATGAGGATCCATACTCGTGCGATTTCAATGTTACAATGATGAATTATCACATGAAGTGTTATTATTATTACTACTATTATTATTATTATGACGATGATTATTATTATAATTATTATTATGATGATGATTATTATTATCGATTAACAAGGAGCATGATTGATGAAAGTGAACTTGGGTATGATTTCGATGACAGATTATCTGAGAGACTTATTCAGAGATATTAATACTTATGCAACATGAATATCACGTAAATTGTTTAAAGCAGTGGTTGTTGACGGGAAAAAGATATTGTCCAACTTATTGGTCTTCAGTATAAACACATGTGTTATATAGAACCTTCGCTTTTACTTTTGTAAACATAGTTCGTTGCAATTTCTTTTAATTATTTGATATTTTTTGCTCTATTTTTCTGTTGAATTGAAAACTTATATAAAATTGACAATTTCACTTACATTTTAAAACAAGTTAAAAACAAGTCGAGGTCTAAAAGAAAGCTTCATCTTCTAATACAAGTTTGAGTCCAAATAGGAGAAAGAAAAAAGTTCAATAAGAGCATAAAAAGTTTTAAGTTTATAAAAGAGCAAAAATATTTCAATAAAAGATGAAGTAAATGTTTTATGGGATAAAATTATCAAATTGCAATCTAGAGGAGTCAAACCTTGTAATAATAAAATATTTTATTACAACGGCATGATCTTCTTTAAAATTTATTTTCCTAATTATTTTTACTTCTCTATAATAATATTATATTTTGCTGCTATTGACATTCATTATAGCAAATTTCTTATTGTTTTAAAAAATTAACTCTCCTAAATCAATTATTTTAAAATATGCAAAAATCAAATCGGTTAATAAATCAAACAAAAAAGTGACATTTATTGTAAAAACATTTATTTAAAAAAATAACTTTGTGTCGCCCCTCTACAACAGTTAATACTCAAATATAATGTAATAATATTATATAAAAAAAACATTTTTACTTATAAAAGTAATGGTGACAATCGTTTTCACCCCTCAAGTTTGCTTTAAAAATTAATAAATTTCCTTCTTAGTTTTGAACAATAATTAAACTCCATCTTTATCCAAATTAAATATTATAATGTCTATCATAAATATTTTAAGTGGGAATATCTAAAAAGTAGTGTCATATATATATATATATATATATATATATATATATATATATATATATATATATATATATATATATATATTCTAATTTTTTTTATTTAATTGATTAACAAATAAATTTCTTCATTTTAATCCACAAAATCATTAAAAAAAATTGCAGTTTTGTTTACAACAACTAAATGAGATTCAAACGTCAAATATTTGTACATATATAACAACATCACCTCATTATAGCAATCACAAAATTTTGAGACAATCGTTGTCACACTAACAAGTCTAATGGTAATTAAAATTAATTATAAAAACTTTTGAATTTTTTTTTTGAAAGATCTTTTGATTGCTCTGTCTCTCTCCATTACTCTTTAAAAAAAAATATAAACATATTAATTAGACAATATTTCAATTTTAACCTTTTTATTTATTGTTAGATTATTCTATACAATGACTAAACATTGATCAATATTACTTACCCTCCAATTTAACTAAGACATTAAAGTTTACCACACATGGCATAGAAAATTCAAATTCAAGATAAAACTGAAAGAAAATTTTAAAATTATTATTGCATGTTGCACAGTTAAATTAATTTGAATTATGAAAAATATTTTAACAATTCATTTATTTTGAAATAGATAAAATAATATTCCATAAAGAGATCATCAATACTTAATTCATATTTAAAGGTTCTTTAATGTCAAATTTAGAAACCAAGAGATTAGATATATTTGGTAATAGTGTTTGAATGTAAAAGGACTAAATTGTTATTTAATTTTGTGGTAAAATTGTAAATTAAACTTTTGAGTTAGAGAGTTTCCATATTTAGTACTTTGTATTGTATAAAATATAGTAATATAATTTTTTCTAGTCCTAGTAAGCAGCAAAAAACTACATAAACTCGTATTCCTCCTACTGCTTACTTCATTGTTACAATATTTGCTCTCTACACTTTTATTGATTACTATACATAATTTAGAGTTATCGATCGTGAATTCATTTGATTATTTGTTTAATAGGGAAATTTATTGATCAACCTCAATCTCAACCGAATAATTACTACTTATTATATCACAATTCAAATCTTACGGATCTGAATTATCATATATATAATCAACAAAGTTCCTTTGATCAGCCAACATCTGAATTCATCGATGATGATGATGTAACAACTGAAATGAATTCGATGATGATGTTGATGACATAGTTATTTGTTAAGCTTTTTGGAAGCTATTCTGTTCTATGAGGAAGGCAGCGAGGAGTTTTTAATTTATATTCATGAATGAAAACACATAGAAGTAGGTTTAAAACATATCATGATGTAATTAATCTTACTTTACCTATTTCTATTTGCTTGATTGTATAATTTTTCCTTTATTTCATACTAATTTTATACATTTATTACAGACATGAAAAAAATCAAGACTTCTCCTTATTAGTATTTGACAATTCCAGGTCTTTTTAAAGTGTTTTTTTAAGCTTTACATGTCACGAATTCATATTAGTGACACTTTTATTGCTAAAAAAAGGAAAAACGCAACAAAACAAACTTATACTATTTAATTACTCATCATAGCTATAGTTTGTTATGATTATCACTCGTGACTAACATTATTACGGGGCTGACTTCGAATTTGTATAATTAGTCGCGTTTGTATATGTATAATTCGCAAGAATATACAATTCTTTAACCTATATACATATACAATTCACCTCTCTCCCACTCTCTGCCCTCTCTCGCTCGACTATCGCCTCCTTCTCTTAATCTCGCTCGCCTCTCTCCTCCCTCTCCAATCTCGCTTGTCATTTATACAAATGCATATGTATAATATACAGTTATATACAATTATATACATACACAATTCACCTCTCTCCCACTCCATGCCCTCTCTCGCTCACCTCTCTCCTCCTCTCTCGGTCTCGCTCGCCTCTCTCCTCCTCTCTCGATCTCTCTCGCCTCTCCCAGTCTCACTCGCCTCTCTCCTTCCTCTCCCAATCTCTCTTGCCATATATACAAATACATATGTACAATACAATTTTCTAACCAATATATATATATACAATTCACTTTTCTCCCACTCTTTTCCCCCTCTCTCTCGCCTATCTCCTCCCTCTCGCAGTCTCACTCGCCTCTCTCCTCCATATAACATATAGCTACAAATTGTAATTATCAAATTATAGCTATGGAGAGTAATTAATTATTTTTAAGTGGCTATATATAAAAGTTTCCCAAAAAAAATTATTGCTATGGGCCTTGATTATGGGCCAAAATTTAGTCCAGTTGATAATTTTGGGGCTAAATTTGGCCTCCCCATTATAGGTAGGCCCACTTGTTTGAAGAGTCCACTTGATTAGAGTTGTGAATCTAATTTCTTTCGAGTCTGCCATGTATGTATCTTCTATGGTATGTCAAGACTCATAAATTAAACACTCGCTAATGATACGTTAAAGATACGCTTTTTCTGGTGTCATGATACAAATAATTGAGACAAAAGGTCGGAAGGTTCAATCAAGAATGTGTAACCACCCATCATATTTCAACAATGATTTGTTGTAGTTCCCTATTAAGATAAAGTCAGTATCTTGAATTTATGAGTTATGAATTTTAGAAAAATCATCTTATCGGTAGTGGCAGAGCCAGGAATTTAACAAAGGGTGTCCAGAAATAACAATTTGTTATGTTAAGGGTGTCCAAAATATGCTATTTAATCATTTCGTATATCGTTTTACTTATATATATGGTATTTTTTTCCGACGAAGGGTGTCCAAGTAGACACTCTTACCAATATGTGGCTACACCGCTGCTTATCGGACTATGATACACTATTTATACATATGATATAGCAACTTTTTTAGTATAAATGTAGAGTCAAAATCAAAGCTATTGAATAATGTCGTATCCATAAAATGTACAGACTATACCCTTACTCCTTACTAAGTTAAACCTCTTTTTTTCTCACTCAGCATTTGATATCCAAAACGACTCGAACTCGAGACTTATGGTTAAGAATGAAGAAACACTTACCATACCACCATAACCCTTGATGCAACATTGAGGAGTGTGGTGTTATGGCTAAAAACCCTTCGCCCTCGAGTTTGATTCCTAAAAATATATAACTTCTCAACATAGAGCAATTTGATTTCTCCTAAGATGACCAGCCTACCTAACACTAATTTTGAATCAATCGGTTTGAATATATATGAAATGACTAAATAAAAATAATATTAATAAGTCGATTATGAAAGGCCATATTTTTATACATATCAAATGGCAAATTGAGTAAAATAAGAATGAAAATGCATGGTTAACAACCGGCAAATAAAGGACCCCATATTTATGTATATCTCAGTCTGACATTAAAAAGACTATACATGAAAATAAATAACACCTAACACGATTCATCTAATGACTTTCGTCTTTCTAATTACTTTGCCGACTTTTTAATCACACAAATTAACAATTTTTATTTGAATAATCACTAGTGTTTTACTTTTTAGAGCTTCTAATAGCCTGTCTATAGTTGTAAAAAAAACCCTGTATTTATTTTTGTTTGAAATTTTTTATTTTTAATTAAGGCCAAAAAAATATATAACGTAACACATTTTGTCCAGTGATATGAATTCAATTAAAAAATGTTTTTTCATCAATAGTTTAGCTAGTATATAACTTGCATTTATGTATATATTTGATTCGTTTTCTTAATTGTTCACGAAATTAATAATTTATTATAACAAGATATCACGTGTGAGTTTTATATATATATTCAAATGAAATTTAAAATGGTACTAGTGGAAATAAATAAATCACCATATAAGCTTATTATTAGATTACGAAAGAACAAGGAACATTGTCCATAAAATAAGGTTCCTTGTCTATATTGCATTAATTAGAAAAAAGTAATAGTCAATATGTCCACAAAATCTCACTTACTAGCCAATATCTAATATTTATAATTAAGTTACAATAATTATAATGACAGTTTGTTACTGAATATGAGGGTGACAACAATTTTCAAATAATCTGCATGAAAAATAATAAGGTTGTTTTCGAAGTAATATAAAACACAAGTCATTTGTTATAAAATAGCAAGTGGGATTTAACCAATATTATGTACTATGAGACAATAATAACCAACATTCTTCCCCTAAATATCCCACCATATAAATAATTAAGCATATAAAATGTACTTGCGTAGGACCTTTTTTTGTTTGTTTTGTCCCTTCGATTAATTTTTGATATGACTAAATTTAAACAAATAAAAAGGCACTAAGAAAAAATAACTTGAAAAATGAAAAGCAATGTGCATATTGAATTAAACTTGGGCAATATCGTATTATAAGAAATTATTGTTGAATCGTTTAGAATATCTTAATTTTAATTATAAATATTAAATTAATTTAATTTTAATAATTAATTAAATTGACTCTCAAGAAAAAAAAGATAGACGATAATTTTATATCATTTTAATATAAGAGACAAATAACAAAGAATGGCAAAGTACTAAAACTTGCCACATTTGCCCGTGTTTATTGAAATTCATCTCTTTTCCTTTAAAATATTTGACTCTCTTTTGACAGGACAAAACGAACTAAATATAGTAGTCCAACTATCATATCTCATTAACTATATATATTGAATTTAATCTTTATGACAACTAAAAATATTGTTCTCAGTGATAAAATTAAATAATCTAGTGATTTTATACGAAATTTTAAATAATAAAATAAAATAATTTTATTTTAAAATTAAAATTATATTAAATATATTAAAACATGACCTATTAAATCTTTAAACTCCTACTACACCTCTGTGGATTTTGTACACAAACTCTAAGCTGAGATTTTCTTTGCCTTCCACAAAAATAGAAAATCTTCTTAAATTTAAATTTCTGAATGAGAAATTTTGCATTGCAGACATTATTACAAGTCTACTGCCATCACCTAAATTTGAAATATATTTTCTCTATCCCAAATACACCTTTGATAAAAAAAAAATAAAAGAAATAGGACAATATTTTGAATAGTTTAGAGTTTTCAGATTTTATTTTATTTTATATTGAACTTACTGTTGACTGAGGATGATTTTAGTACTATTTTTTTTCCTTCTGCAAATTTGTGATAGCTTTGATTCATGAAAAAAAAAAAAAGTTTGGTAAATACCTACTGGCATGTATGAACTGTTCATATCAAATTAAATAACGTTACTCTAATAATAATAATAATAATAAATAAAATCAAAGTATATACAACTTGATCATTATTATAAGTTACGTATGAAAATTATATATATTACTTTCATGTACGTATGTTCTTTTATCAAAAAAAGTTTTAGAATGAAAAGAAAAATGCATTTAAATTCCCAAAATCCAAACTAACTCTTCCTACTCTGTCTTGTTTTTTCAATTACAAAAAAAAAAAGAAATCACTGTTTTTTCTACGGAGACTCTCTAAAATTAAGGCTACGATTATTCTTAGGACCTCAAGATTAGCAATTTCATTTCTTCCTCAAATTCCCTCCACTTGTCAAAATTTAAAGAAAACACCAACCCCTCTCGTTCTGCTAGGGTGTAATGCTGCTGTTGTCAAAGAAAAAAAAATAGTTTCATCAATGATAACAAAATTGTTCTTGTGTAGAGATATTGGCTTTGCATTTGTGTTGTAAAAGGATTTTTTTTTATTGATAAAAGGTGGTGATTAGACCAAATTGCGTGCATTTTGATTATTTTATCCGAGTACCTGCTGCATCACACCAAAATAGAGGATAAATTATCGACGTTTCATAGGGGATGGTTGTTAGAAACATCTTTTGCGGTGCTTGTAATATGTAAGTTTGTATTGCTTATACAAAATGTTACTTGTGTATTATCAAAAAGAAACTAATTATTGCTAAAAATGCTTATTACATAGCTTTGATTTGTATGGTATACAAGTATCTATCTAGCTGAATGCTGATCATTTCTATACTATGATAGAACAAAAAACAGGGGTACAATATCATAGAATTTCAAAAAAAATCCAAATTTCTTCCATGCTTTGCGATTAGTTATACTTTCCTAGATGCAATGCCGAGGAATGTATGAGAGGGAAGTGTGATTTAATATGTTTGAATAATTTAGTTTGGTTGATATTTTATAGGAAATCTGCTAAGGGAATCAGTATGAATGCAGAACATACCTCAGCATCTGCTCAAGGTGAGATCAGTTGAGATTGTGTACTATGGCTTTTTTTTTTTTTATGTTTTGCCTTTGATGGATGATGTTCTTGTTGTAGACCTTAGAATGTTCGAGATGGAAAGGGAGAAACATGATGATGGTTCTCCAGGAGGAGTTATGGAAGTGGGCATCAGAAACACAGAGAATGGTTCCATTTCTCCTACAGACAAACCTTCAGGTTCTCGAACCAGGTTGTCAAATCCACGAACGTCTTCTCGCTGGCATAAGTTCTTCAAGATGTGGAAGAGAAGTTCTGTCAAGAGATTACCTTCTTTTCCACCGTTAGCTGTGCCAACTATGTCGACAAGGAAAAGCCGAAGTGCGAGGGAGAATGTGGCAGCGGGAATCTACCACTTCACATCATCCTGGAAGAACTTCAGCCTATCTGAACTGAAAAGCGCAACCAACAATTTTAGCAAAGGTGGGTAATCGTGTTTGACGTCTCTCTTTCTTGCATTCAGGGCTTATTTTTACTACTCTTTGATCTATTTTAACTTTGGAAAATTTTGAAGTATATGTGTATTATAGAGTTGATCTCCTTCTTTGACAGATAACTTGATTGGCAAAGGAGGGTATGCTGAAGTTTACAAGGGTTGTTTACCTGATGGTCAGCTTATCGCGGTTAAGTGCCTCAATAAGGGTACAGAAGCGCAGCAGGAACAAAGTTTCCTATGTGAAATAGGTACTATAGCACACGTGGACCATCCTAATACTGCAAGGATGGTTGGTTATGGAGTGGAAGGAGGGACATACCTAGTTCTTCAGTTATCTTCTCAAGGGAGCTTAGGATCATTTCTTCGTGGTTTGTCTCAAAATTTCTAGTTACAAGACAATATTTCTGTTTGTAATTGATGAACCGCCTTTTTCTTCTATAACACGAGGTATTTTGTTGTTTTCAGGCTCAAGAGAAAAACTAGATTGGGCTGCCAGGTACAAAATAATATTTGGAATAGCAAATGGCCTAATGTACCTTCACGAGAATTGCCAAAGGCGGATTATACACAGAGATATTAAAGCTGATAATATTCTACTTACGGAGGATTTTGTGCCTCAGGTACTATACAATCTGGCATTTTAAATCTACCATAATCTACACAATTTTTGTGAAATAATCTGGTCTTCTCTGACTGTATTTTAAAGTCAATATACCTTCCTTCAGTTGGATTGCCGCTAGAACACTATCTACAGTTGTCTAACCTCTGCTCCTTACTCAAAAGAATACAAATTTGGGCATATCTCCGTCTCTCTTAACATGGTTAAAATGCACTTGCATTTAAGATTGAATATTAAGGGAAGAAAAGATTATATCTAACATATACGCTGAGATAGGTGCGTTACATAGTTGTCGTAGTTGTTATGCATATATATATATATATATATATATATATATATATGTTTTAACATAGAAGCCTGAATGTTGTGAATAGAGACGTTAAAACAGATCACATACCTTTAGCTAAAATTGATGGCACCACTAATCCGGCCAAATAGGGTAGTCCTTCTAGGATGATATGAAGGGATAGTAATCAGTTGCTGCATTTTCCCCACGCTTCTGCCTTTCCTTCTTGATATCCTTAGAACAGCTAAAAGATTGGACGGAAGGCAGTCTTCTGATGGGAACTCCTTTCAACATTTTGAAGAACTTATGCCTAGTGAGGGAATCCGAGAATTCGACAAGCAGATTTGAGAATCCGAGGATTCGTGTTTAGGAGGATTAGAGTCATTACCCAGCTTCTTATGCAAACTTCAATGACACCTCTTGGTAGAATATATTCTCTGTTTGTTTATGGACAAAGCACCTACATTTAAGATTGGCAATTAAGTGAGCAACCGAATATAAAGACGAACAAATAGAAATTGAGGTAAATGATGGATGAGTACATATTTATGTGCGGTACATCCTATGTACAGTGGAAAACATGTTTTTAAACGGAAACTAGCAGGAGATGCCGGATATAGAGGTAGTGTATCTTTGGTAAAAGCGAAATAGAGAAAAACAAAGATAACAAGAGTTAATACTAGATAGATGTATATCATGTGAGAATTGAGATATATCATGTATAAGATTCAGTCACATGTTTCAACATCCTTTTGAAGAAAAAACAAGCTTTTTGATGTAGACTAGTTAGAGAAGCAACAAAAACAGATATAGGAGAAGGGAAATTTAAAAGAACAAGATAGAAAGAGTTAGAAATGGATGCTTATGTATCATGTGAGATACATCGCGTATACATCACAGATGCGATTTATATGGTTTTCAGATAGAAAACATTAAACACCCTTTGTTTTGCACTGACCTTTTACTGACCACCTATGTTAGTTACGTCTCGACTTTGCTGGAATCAAGAGCTTCATGCCTGGGAATAAATAGGATTATAGAGTTGTTGGTGCAGGCAATAATTGGAACAAAATGTAGCATACAGTTCCTCCTTGTAGGTGGTGGGTGATCTGAAGAGAAAAGAACTCAAGATATTTTGAAGACAAGCAAAATTCAGTCAAGAGGATAAAGACTGTAATTCACTTTTTTCTGTAAGAAGGAATATGCAAATAAGTGAGAAACTCATTAGAATTTATAGGGTTTCTCTAACATGAGAAGAAGACTTCACTTTTTGCCGTTTATGAATATAGTCATATAGCCAGTCAAGAAAAAATCAATTACAATGGTCAAAATGCATTATTTTGCTTACTTGTACAGAAAATTCCAGGACTACTATTATGTCGTTCATGGAAAATATTATTACCATTTAAGAAAAAGGAATTTCATATTATATCACATAAAATTCCACACCTACGTTTTTGTCCTTTACGAATGTAATCACATTATCGGTCAAGAAAAAATCAAATACATGTGATATTTCACATGTATAATGGTTAAAACGCGTTGTTTTGCTTACTTGTACAGAAAATTCCTAGACTACTATTGTGTCGTTTATGGAAAATATTATTACCATTTAAGAAAAAGGTCACATGTCCACTTCTCTAAGAAAATTGCATCTTCATTATTGTTTTTAGGAAATAATATTCATAGTTGTATGACATCATTTGGTATTCCGAGATATGCGATCATAGTTGTAATACTCGTGGATTATGTTCGAAAGGTCCAAGAATCATGACAGAGAAAAATTACAGGCAAAGTGGTTCTACTTCTCTTTTTAGTTGTTAAAGTATTGATTGAGTTCCATCATCCATATAAATTAGTACATAGTAGACACGATGATTCGTGTGTTTGCTGCAAATTGTTCTTGATTATCACGTATTCTGAGCATGTGTATTGTGAATGCAGATTTGTGACTTTGGCCTTGCAAAGTGGCTTCCTAAAGAGTGGACACATCATAATGTGGGCAAGTTTGAAGGCACATTTGGGTCTGTAGTCCTGAAATCTTACATTAAAAGCATAGAGAACTTCTCTGATATCTTCATCTACCTTGCAAGAAGATCTAATGCATTTTTTCTTGATATTGTCAGTTATTTTGCTCCGGAGTATTTTATGCATGGCACAGTGGATGAGAAAACTGATGTATTTTCATTTGGTGTGCTGCTATTGGAGATAATAACTGGAAGGCAAGCACTAGATGATTCACAGCAGAGCCTTGTGATTTGGGTACATTCTTCGTGTCACGTCTTCCATCATATATTCCTTATTATCTAATTCACGAATACATCCTTACTACACGAGCATACACGTATTCAAATGTAGGCAAAGCCTTTACTCCATAAGCACAATGTCAAAGAACTAATTGATCCTGTTCTTGGTGATAACTACAATCCAAAAGAGATGAACCGCGTTATAATAACTGCTGGCTTATGTGTAGAACAGAATCCACTTATGCGGCCTAGAATGAATCAGGCAAGTTGTTATTTTCTGTCACCCTTGATTTCCTGTAGTTTGGAAATTCAACTCATTTTTGCATGTTTTCCTGGTTCTATTGAAAAAATGATCTTTTTTTCTTATCGCAGGCTATCGTCCTAATGAAGACTGAAGACGACTGCTACAAACATAACTTCCAGCGAAAGAGGACATATTCAGAAGAACTCTTGGATGCAGCTGAGTACAACTCAACGAAATGCCTGAATGATTTTAAACAGCTTAATCTAAGAAGTTCAGTTTCTGATAACAACATGAAGACCTCAGCAGCCTAGCTAGAATTGGTAACTTAGTTACAGCTTAGAGAAAATTTTTTTATTAATACTCATATATATGTACTTTCAAATAATGATCTCTGTTTTTTGTATGGAATTTTGAGGAAATAGGTAGAAAGGGCTTCACTCTTTCAAATGTCATGGGAAACATAGTGAAGTGAGTAAACTCTCATTAGGTAATGCTTGTATATATTAGACATATGGAAACTATATTGTAAGTTAAATGGTTCAATGTGTGTATTTATTCTTTAAATGTTTTGATGTTTTCTAAGCCAACTTGTGCGCACTTAGACTATTCTATTGGTATTAGCTACCTCGGCTCGGAGTAGCTAACATATAAAACTTGAAAGAGGTTAAATTTCTTTTAGAAATTGTATATAATAACAAATAAAAAAATCATATTTGTATGCTATAGCAAAGTTTGCATAATTGCGCTCCATAGCAAACATAAAACTGTATAATTCGCTATACATATACAATTGTATAATTCGCTGGCCTATTTCACTGCAATTGTATAATTCGTTATCCTATTTCACTACGATTGTATAATGCACAAATGTATAATTCGCTGCCTATTTCGCTGAAATATTTTTATAAAAATTGTTTTGCATACAGTTGAATCGAATTAAAATGTATGTATATTGCATAATTATACAAAAACAGAAACACAATATATACACTTATGTTGTATAAAGCTAGAGAAAATTGTATTTCACTGCAATTGTATAATTCGTTGGCCTTTTTCTCTACGATATTTGAAGTAAAATGTTTGTAAATTGTATAATTAAGTGTATAACACGAAGATATATATTTTTACATGTGTATATACAATTTTCTCTCGCTTTATACAAAACAAAAACAGAATTTATACACTTCTGTGTATAAAGCGAGAGAGGCGAGCGAGAATGGAGAGTGGCGAGCGAGATTTTTGGGAGAGAGACGTCTGACAAACATTAGCTAACGTTTGCTGTGGAGCACAATTAAATCAAACCCTAGCTACTCCATTTATTTTAGGTTATTAGTTTGTTATTATATACAATTTCCCATTTCTTTTATGTAGTACATTTTCATTTGCATTTTCCTTTTTCTCAGTTTTCTTGTTTTTTGGAAAGGACAGATTTAATAGTGGCTATTTTTCAATTGGGCTAAAATGAAAGACCAATATCTTAGGCCCAAGAAGAACTGTTGTCAAACTCATAACATAATTAAGATCTGCGAGAAGCCCAATATAGTAATCACAAGTACAAAAAATAAAGGAAAACTAGATTTTGTCTTTTATAAAAAAGAAGAAGTAAATATTCACATTGCTTACAAAAAGTGTATTCAGTATTTGGGGTGAAATTATAAGTAAACTGATATATATAATGTGTATATATTATTGTATGAAAGGAAATAATGAAGTGTATATATGAAAAGCCTATTGACAAAAAAAAATCCAATACATATATATTGTATATATAGTGTTCTAAAGTAAAAATTTTAAAATATTTTGACTTTTAAATATCAATTGAAATTTTATAATCAGTTCCATCATCCATATAACTGTAGTTTGAAATATTTGTGCATGCCAATTAATGATGTGAAATTTCCAAGAATTTATATCAAAAAGTAGTGCATTTAAAATTAGTTGAACAATGACACCAACGAATCAATACTTTACTTTGGTGTTTTTTTTAAAAAAAAAGAAAATTTTAGTTGCATAAGTATGTGTGTGTTAATTGATTATCAAACTTTATGTCATTTTCAAGGTGGTCTTTTAATGATATTTTTGCACGCATCTCTGTGCTGAAAATGATAGCAACCAAATCTCCAAGGGCCACAAAGCAAAACATCTAAATTTAATTTACTAATTGTAATTAGCCTAATATTACCACTAGAAAAAAGCTAATTAGTCACACTTTGGTTGCCGTTTGTTGTTATTTAGAAGACACAATAAACAAGAACATGATGTCCAATAAAAAAATTATTGACGATGAAAATTCTTATATAAAATGACATAACAAAAGACAGATTTAGTTAAGTATGAATTTTAAAATAGACTACGTGAACAAAATTGTTAAGGGACATAGGATTAGATTAATTCTGATCCTATAAACCTGTATTCAGTATTTAAATTCAAATATTATTACGTAAACAAAGTTTTAGTTAGGTTTGAAATACACTAAACATATTAACATATAATATTCTTTAGCTTGATGTAGTAGAAAACCTTTTTGAGCAATACACACTCTACCAGCCTTGACACATTTAATATTCCTACTCTAAAATCTGAAAAATAAAAATAAAAATACTAGACCACATATGTATTCTTTTAAAAAAAATAAAAATAGAATTGAATGCGTATGTGACAAGGTGAATGTGTTGTTTCTCTCTGTCAGAAACTAGTGTCTTATTTTTTTAAAAAACAAGGAGTTCGAGTCTGATTGACTCAGATTAAAAGCTGATCAAATTGACTTAAAAGTTGGTTTTTGATTTATTTAGTTGTTTGGCAATACTCAAAATAACTTATTTTAAGTTTAAAAAAATTTATTTTAAGTCAAAAGTTAAAAGCTGGAATAGAGGTGCTTTTTTTTTTTAGCTTATAAGCTGTTTTAAGTTGATCACATTTTTTTTTTGCCCTTAATATTTTTATACAATCTCCAAATTACCCACATAACCCTAACATCTCTTTCTTCCATTTTTCCCTTTTCACGTTTGACATAGCAATTTCAGCACTTTTATCCAAACGCATAACTACTTATTTTAAAAATAAGTTTCAGCACTTTCAAAAGTATTTTTTTTAAAGCTGCTTATATTAAGTCCATCCAAACGGGCCCTTACTCTTTCCGTTCACATAAAATATGTCATTTTTATTAGGAAGAATATTTTTATTCAGCAAATTTGATGATAATTTGATCAGAATGGTAAAAAATTTACACCAAAATAGTTTCTTTTTGACCTTTTTACCCCTTTTAACTTAAAAATTAAATATATTCTTGGAGACTCTAAATTCTTCCATTATGTTTCGAATATATTGGAAACAAGTAATTACGTTAATTATTGATGATTTCACAAAAATAATGCAATTAATTTTCCTAAATATTTATTTGTGTTCATTAATCAAAATAAATTAATTCATGTTCATTCATTAAATTGACTTCAAGAAAATACAAAATAAGGGTAACAATAATAAATTTACTTAGTTTGTTAAGAGAAATGAAATCTAAAAATACTGACATGTATATAAATAAGAACGAAGAAAATATTTATCAATTATCTTATAATCAATTACTTATATAATATTAAATTCGTACGTATATATAAAAAGAACAAAAGAATCGACCAATCTTATTTTACTCTGACATAAATCTAAACTCTAGGATGAAATATTCCGATTGATCTTCTAAAAATTCATTTTATCATAAATGTTTTAATTACAACATATTTGAAGGAGCATATATGTGCCAAAAGAAGAAAGTAAAAAATGTCTGGTTTGTATTTGTATGACCCAAAAATCATATAAGCCACAACCTGTCAGTGTTTGTAGATTTCATTACTATAAGCTTGCTTGTCCACAAAACTGAATATATGTTAAATACACGTCAGATCATGTACTTGTGACCATACAGTACGTGTTTTATTTTTTATTTTTTTCTTGTTTTATCTTTTTTTTTTTTTAGAATAGAAATTAAAATATATAGTTTTATTAATAGATTAACGTTACCATTCATTTTTCTACTCTTCAACTTGGACGCAACAGATTGCTTGAAATTGTATAATAGTAGGTGTTCAATTTAAAAGCAAGCAACTATTTTAAATTTTGATATATGTATTTATTATAAATTATAATCAATAAATGCAAGCCAAATTGAGAAATTAATGGTAGTCAAAGTTATGAGCCGCATTTAAATTTTGATTTTTTTTTTTAGTTTATATTTACTAACTGTTAAGTAGAGTTGTTTAAATGCTTCTATTTTTAAAGATATTATTTTATTAGAGAAGAAATTTGAAAATTAAACATGAAAAATTATAAAATAATCTTCTCATTACCAAATACACCCAAAAAAGATGACGATGCAATAAGCTAGAAACTGACCTTGCTTCTCTTCAACCGCCACCTACCACTTTCAGTATCTACCAAAATTTGTATAAACTATTTATCTTCAAAATCATGAGAATTCGTTTGTATTTACAAAAATATAAGTTTTTCACCAATTTTTTTAATATTTAAAAGGAAAAATTGTATATAATAGCAAACTAATAACCTAAAATAAATGGAGTAGTTAAGGTTTGATTTAATTGTGCTTCATAGCAAACATTAGCCAAAGTTTGTCAAGTGCCAAAAATCTCACTCGCCACTCTCCCTCTGCTCGCCTCTCTCGCTTTATACACAGAAGTGTATAAATTTTGTTTTTGTTTTGTATAAAGCGAGAGAAAATTGTATATACACATGCAAAAACATATATCTTCGTGTTATACATTTAATTATACAATTTACAAACACTTTTCTTCAATTCAATTGTAGACAAATGCAAATTTTATACAAATATTGCAGAGAAAAAGACCAACGAATAATACAATTGCAGTGAAATACAATTTTCTCTAGCTTTATACGACAGAAGTGTATATATTGTATTTCTGTTTTGTTTATAAAGCGAGAGAAAAACATATATCTTCTTGCTATACACTTATAATTATGCAATATACATACATTTTAATTCGATTCAATTGTATGCAAAGCAAATTTTAAAAAGATATTGCAGCGAATTATACAACTGTGCATTATACAATTGCAGTGAAATAGGATAGCGCATTATACAATTACAGCGTAATAGGCTAGTAAATTATACAATTTAGGCCAGCGAATTATATAATTGTATATGTATAGTGAATTATACAGTTTTATGATTGCTATGGAGCGCAATTATGCAAACTTTGTTATAACATACAAATATGAATTTTTTGTTTGCTATATGTGAAAGTTGCCCTATTTAAAATATTGAGAAAACAAACAATTATAATTATTCATTTTTAGATTGAAAGATACTTAACATTTTTATTAAAAACCTATTTTTCATGAATCGATCCGTTGCTATTTCAAATTTTGTATTAATTAGATTTTAAATAATAAATCAAAACTATTAAGATTTTTCGAAAAATGATGAAGTCATGGTCAGCATAAACTAAAAACTCGCCGTGAATCCCATGTTTGCTTCCGCATCTCATTTAAGATATTCTCATCCGGGTGTCGTGACGTAAACTTATTTTCTCGCT